TGACTTATGAATTCAATCATTAAATTTACTTATTTTAAACCAAATTGTGAAATATTTTAAATAAACTAATGAAAATGGCAGTTTTTGTTTAAATCTCCATTCATTAGAATTATGTTTTATATCGATTTTGTATAAAATATTTGCCACATTCAATATTAAGTACCTAAATACATTTCATGAATTCAAAGAGCGTAAAAACGTCATATTTTGAAACATTTTAATTTCTATTAAAAAATTTTATTTTCCAATTTATGAAAAAATAATCATTTTATTGATGTTTTGTTAGTTAATGCCAACAAATAATGGTAAACTAAGATTAATAAAAGGTGAGACTGTAATTTATGGACGACTTTTCAGCGACGCTAAAGAGATCTTGAGAATGTCCACTTATATACTACGGTTAAATTAGAGTTATAAACCAGTGTGAAGAACTAGGATTATTATTTACAGTTGATAGTTAAGGTGTAATATCATAACTCTATTTAGTCAAGTGAATGAATTAATTTCGCATCAGAATTCATGATATGTTATCGTAAATCCGATTGGTTCGTCCACAGTCTCATCTTAGCAAAGCTGTCAACCGGTATAGAGTAACCCGACTATAGTTCATCTTTACGAAGTTATCGCGCATTGCTAATTGAATAAGCTGATAAAGCGATTAGACCTAAATAGCGAAAAGTCATTAAAACAATTTTGTTTTATATTGTTTTTATGTTCGCTCATTGAAAATATAAGTTTCCAATAATAATGAATATTATAAAGAAATTAATATATTTATAATATACCAATCAGCAGAAAAATTAAACTTTCTGATGTTTCGTGACTTAGTGTAAGCTCCTTTCTTCAGAGGATAAATAACCAAATTAAAATCAATCCAAGTTTAATTAGTAAAAAGGAACAACCCTAAGGATATTATGATATTATTATGTAATATTAATAAATATCGCTGTATTATTGCTTAAATTTATTGTATCATTAAATTTGAATTTTTCTTTGACAACTATGGTAGTTGTCAGTTGTCATTTCTATTATAAGTTAATCATTATGAAATTAAGTTAATAATGAATGTTTAGGTTGAATATATACTTTTTTATCCGAATATAAAGTTATTCATTGACCAGAATAAAATTATTTTATATTCACTAAACGTTAACAAGGTAATTTGTGTAAAATTATAATCAGCTATCACACAATAGACAATACACAAGAGTCCAAAAAATAGGATGAAATGGCCGTCCAGTGCTTACAAGTTCTCTATAGTGGTCTAGCTTCGACTGACTCATGATCTCAACTGTTAAAATAATCCATTATATCCACAAAATCTCGTTCTGATATTATTCAACATATGTTCACTAGTGACTGACTTCAAGAGGTATTTCCTGGAGTTTTAGTGAGAAGCAGTGACCAGTGGAGTTCAACCGGGTTTGTTGTGAGATACTGACTCACCGAAGACATTGGTGGATGTGTCGCTCAATTTCGTGAATTAGATGAAGTCAGACAGTAACACCGGTGAATGCCGGCAAGCTCAGTGGTTTAGGGGTTAAGCGTTTGCGCGAGATGTCCTGGGTTCGAATCTAGTGAAACGGAATCGTGGATGCGCATTGATGAGGAGTCCCATACTAGGACGGACTAGCTGTTCAGTGCTTCCAGGTTTTCTATTGTGGTCTAACATCAATTGACTCATGATCTCAACTATTGGATATACAATTATATAATGTCATCTGATTATAGTAGAGTTTGAAAAACCTAATTTTTTAAATTCCTCTAAATTATTATCTTCACATTCAACACAATTCATTCGGTTATTTCAATAAGTCAATAAATTATGTAACTGTTGATAAAATCAATAAAATGTTTTTTTTCCTTTAAGTGAGATATATAAATATAAAAACAGAGAGGTTTCACTTTAAAAAAAATTATATTCCAAATACAATCTTCATTTTGTTTATTAAAGATATAAGTTAAGCTAACTTAGAATAGTAACAGTATACTGACATATTTAATGATTAGTTTCTATGAAAATAAAAAAGAAATTATTTTTGTTAAATAAACGAAATACAAAAAATAACTTTATGCAACCCTTTGCAAAATTTACATGGTAGTATGTTATCGTTGCCAACAGAGTTATTCTTTTTTTTGTCTGTGGAAATTTTAGTTTGTTTAAATGGATATGTCTGAATTGATATATTTTCTAAAAACGCCTATTTTACTTCGTCGAGAGGTTCCAATTGATATCGCGTACTGTTTTATCAGCTGAACCAATGACTTATTTCTTGAACTGACACACTCATACTCACAATCAAGGCTTCAACAGTTGTTGGTTCTCGAGCCTTTTCTAAATCAAATTCCTATCGGAAAGTATAAATAGTAAGCAAGTTTCTCCAAACAAGCTACCAATACACCGGTGAGACTGTAATTTATGGACGACCTTTCAGTGACGCTGAAGTGACCTTGAGCGTGTCCACCTAGTAACTAGGACCAAATGAGGAATTAGAATTATGATTTTCAGTTGATGGTTACGGTTAGTAATTAGATTTTGGGTATTCATCACGAACTGACATCAGCTATAATGCCAAAACTCTATCCAAATGGATAGTTCAGTTTGGCGCCAAAATCCAAGACCTGGTATCTTATACCGAATTGGTTCGTCCATAAATTATAGTCTCGCTACGTTATCTATAACATCGTTGGGAAATAAATAACGTCATAGGAAACTGATTCATTTATCCAATGAAATTGTTCTACTTTCTCTGTTAAATTAAACTACAATTTATGATGGTAGCATAAATTTGAATCAATAGTACAAGAATAAAACTGTTCATTATAATTTATTCAACATTTTACTAAAGGTAACTCATTTCACAATCATTTATAATCAGTCTTATAATAAAATTATTTACCCTCCAGTTTGAATATTAAACTATATTGAGAAAAGTCGTATAATGAAAGCATAATAAGAAATACCCCTGAATAATTATTGAGTTAGTAATTAATAAGAATAGAATTAAATTAATATAATACATTTGACCGGAGAGAAATATTGGATTTTGTAAACAAAGTGGACATAAATTAACAATCAATAATACTTGTAACTATTGAAACGCGTAAACTGGTATAGGTATGCATAAAAGTGTATAAATTATTTATTCTATTGAACAAAAAATCAGTTGTTTTCTATCACAAAATTTCAACCTAAACATATATCAGAAGGGGTTTTATAGATATTATAGTAATTTTAATAGTTGAGATCATGAGTCAATTGAAGCTAGACCACGATGGAAAACCTGGAAGCACTGGACGGCCGTTTCGTCCTACGGTGGGGCTCCTCAACAATGCACATCCATGATCCCGCCAATTGCGATATTCGAATCCAGGACCTAACAGTCTCGTGCGCGAACGCTTAACCTCTATTTACCGAGTGTAATATTTTTTTAATTTTTCGCCTATTGAGGTATATTGACCATAAATATAACTTTATTTTTTAGAAAAATATGTTATAAACTAAACCAGCTATAATGTCTTACATTTCTGCTTCATTTTTTTCTACTGCTTGAAATCGTTCACCTACACACCATATTCGTTATTATATCAGTAGTATATTACAGTAAATGTGTTTTTAGCTTACTTCAGTATAGATTTTTACTATTATACAGTACAAAGTTTTATGTAATAACTATGTTTGATGAAGAAAATTAATTCATTATAAGCATACTGTAATGAAAAATACGAAGTTTTTCAGAACTAATTTAGTGTTATGCATTTCGAACAGTGTAATCACGCATAAAATTGTTGTGATTTCTAAATGAAAAGGAAAAACATCCTAACAGCTGATCAAAAGAAAATGAACAGTAAAGTTAATAATGATTGCAAACATTATAGAACTTTGGATTTTAAATTAAGAATAAGTTATAACACGTTCCCTCATTCCTACATTTGTGTGTCTGCACACATAAATAAATAAAAAACAGCAGGATATGAGGTCCTCGTTAATACTACCCTAGATTTTCGTGAAAACAAAAGTTTTATCTTTTCGCTATTGAGAGAATAGAGCGCTTAATAAAGAGCACTAGTCGGTAATTGAAGCTTTTTAACACGGAGATAAGTGACCAAAAACTGAATGAGAATGTGATATACGAATTAGTTTCTGGAACCCCAATCATAGAAGATTACAACGTAATGAGCTCTGCGTTTTGTTTCCATGTTACATGTAACAGACTTCTTCCTCAGTAGTATCGTTTGCGTAAATATCAATAATTATATTAAATATGCCCATGATCAAACTTCTTTTAAATTAGACTGAACCATGATTACGAAAATTAAGATACTGACCTGTCCATATAGGATTTTGATGAATGGCACATTTCATCGAAACTTTTTCTCCTAATATATATCTATGAGAAAAAGTTGTTTATACAACCCTTCTGCAAACGAGAGATTGATGTGCCTTAGAGTTATATAAAGTACCTTTATAAAGAAGCTCGCATCACTAGGCTTGTCATATATTGCTACAGGATCATATACGTACAGAATTGTAAAGACGCATATTGTCGAATAATCCATCAGATCAATGTTTAAAATGTAACATAAACATTAGTTAGAAAACAATCCAAAAGATCTACCTACAGTCACCTTACGAATCTGTCAAAATAACTCACAATCAAAAGTGAATTGAACTTGCTCAGGTAATAATAATGATAAAACTTTCATTTTTATAAGATAATGAAATATTATTCTAAGATATCTAGTTATATAAAATATCAATAGTGCTTTTGAATGGTACATTTGTAAACAAAAAAATTACATCGAAAAAAACATTGTCATACTCATGATATTTACCCAATAATTAACCAGTTTAAAAATGTATTTTGGTGAATGTTTATACAATTTTGAGATGGTGGAGATTTGTAGATCAGGTGTGTGATTTCGATGGAGTTGTGTTCTCTGAGGTGGATGGTTTGGTTGTGAACCATTCATCGTTCTTCTGGACGACATCATCAGCACGAAATTCCGGGTGAAGTGAATGTTAGGATGTCTTCACATGTTTTATTCCAAGAATATGAAGCCATATCTGTAAGCAATATTTACCAATTTTACTATAAACTAACTTTGATTATTTAAAGATATAAGGACAAGTACAAGTATTTGTTTATTGAAAACTTCCAAATATTTGAAACTGATTATTAAATCACCTTGATGTTCTGGATAAAAATTTAATTAAACTACTTATGTTTCTTAAATATGATGATTAGATTAGAATATCTGAAAACATATATGTTATCACTGATATAATTTGAATTAATTAAGTTGCTAAATGAACTGTTTATGAGAAATTTAAAAAGTAGAGGCTTTATTTAATATATTTAAATACAATAAAGTGAATTTTCAGTATTTTATAACTTGCTTTAGATCAGCCCCCTATCGAATAAATAATTTAATAATTGAATTCATCAGTCAATTGAAGCTAGATCACCATGGAAAAATTGGAAGCAGTGGACGGCCGTTTCGTCCTAGTATGGGACTCCTTAATAGTGCGCATGCATGATCCCGCTCCGTGAGATTCGAACCCAGGACCTATTAGTCTCGTACGTGAATCCTAACACCATTGAATGCCGGCCAGATCAGTAGTCTAATGGTTATCTTCAACCGATCCATGAAATTGAGTGACAAATCCCGCACTGTCTTTAGTGAGCTACTGTCTCACGACAACGGCATCGTGAATGCACACTGCTGAAGAGCAGCATACTAGAACGAAACGGTCGTCTAGTGTTTCCAGGTTTTCCATTGTAGTCCACTTTCGATTGACTCATGAATTGACCTACTAAATTACTATGATATTCACAAAAACCCCTACTCTGATTAATAAAAATTGTAATCATCAAAAAACAAATAACCTGAAAGAATTTTTTTAAATGTCTTTTACTAATTAAATACATCTAGTAAACATTATTTCGTATTAAAAGAAATAGCTTACGCTAAGTTGTCAATGTGTCAAATTTTCTTTGTTACAAATGATCAAAATTTGCCAATAAAGGTCTAATAAACTAATATTATTATTACTATTATTATTATATTCTTATTGATACTAATTATCTGTCAAGTTTAAAAAGAATAATAAGATTATGACATTTTGATGCAGTGAAATTATTTTTTTCATTCTGAAACTTTACAGTTTTGACACGAATCGAGATCGCTTGAACTATATCTCGAAGAAAATCAATAAAGCTTGAAAATATGTTCATTTGAAATAGATGATTAATTTGAAATAAAGAAGTCTTCTTTTCAATATCGTACAGTTGTTATATATAAACCGAGTCTGTTGTAAGATGGTAACCCACTGAAGTTAATGGTGAATGTGTCACCCAATTTTGTGGATTAGTTGAAGTTAGACATTAACACCGTTGGATGCTGGCCAGCTCAGTGGTCTTGATGTTAAGGATTCTTGCGCGAGACCGAGAGGTCGTGGATGCGAATCTAGCAAGGCGGGATCGTAAATGCGCACTGCTGTGGAGTTCCATACTAAGATGAAACGGCCGTTCAGTGCTTCAAGATTTCCCATAGTGTTCTAGTTTCAATCGACTCATGAATTCAATTATTAAATTACTACTATCTCTAAAAAACCTATCTCTGATATTTAAATCACTGAGAATTCAAATACTTTTCAATAAAAAATGTTTAACTCCACTTTCGATTCTTATATTATCTATATATCAATTAAGAGAATTGACTTTAATAGTTGTTAGCCAACTTCTTTGTTCTAAGCTAGTCAGTATATCATCTCTTCTATAGTAAGTGTATATTAACTTTCAAATTGTATATACGTTAGTTCGCTTCAACATAATTTATTTAAATAAAAGAATTTTGAGATTCTACCATAAAGAACTGTTCATTCAACAAATCCAGTCACTGTCGTTGTTGTTAGTGTTGTTTTTTTTCAAATTTATTTTCATTTATTTCATGTCTTATAACATAGATTTTCAAGGTTGTGCTATCTATGGTTCGAACAAAAATTGTCACACTTTTGAAGTGACGTTTATCGTTTTTTTCTCTCTCAATAGATTTGTACTGTAATGCAAGTCTTTGGAACGGTTTCATATATTTCATGTAATCGGTCAAGCTGAATACTGTTAATAGGTGATTATTATTATTATTGATATTGCTATGATAGTAGTTTCTGATAAGGTAAAACATTCAAATTTCCACCGGTAAACAGTTGAAAAGTTGCTTACAACAAAAGAGTACTATTTAAACTTGGATTGATATTAATTTGGTTATTTATTCTCTGAAGAAGTGGCTTACACTGAGTCATGAAACGTCAGAAAATCTAATTTTTCTACTCATTGAGATATTACAAATATTTTATTTATTTATAGAGTATAAATTGTTACACGTAATTATCCAAGTTTATGTTATGGTCGAACAAAGTAATTAATGAACAAATAAATCATACTCAAATTACTGTAATATCTTCACGATCAAGTAAACTATGACAAAAGTTGATGTCTATAAATAATGACTAGGATAATCTTGTAGTTGTTATTTGTGAAAAATTTCTAATATGACGTTTTTGTGTGAACTGTTCAATTTGAAAACTGATGATCTCAATCTCCATTATTGACAGATTCCTAATCTCACACTGATGACGTTCCCTATATTGCAACGAAATAGTTGTTTTCACTAGTTATTCAGCCAAAGTTAATCCGTGATATGAACTACAACAATTTAGATGTGCTATTATTTCTGGTCCGTAAATGAAAAAATCCTGAATTGTCCCAAAACGTTGACTGACAAAATTTATGAATAACTGTATTGAAATGTATATAAAAGTAGATGTAAAGAGAGTGATAATGAAGTTTATCTCTAAATGTTAAGAAATAATAAAATTTATTCGCTGTCTCTGTCATGTTGTAAAAATCTAGAGTTAATATAAAGTAACGTTTAATGCAAAGGTACTCTTTTATTAAAAATTCTTTTGTGTATGTTATGTATATTCAAAATGAAAGATTTCGAAATCCTAATAGTTTTAATCAACAGATAAATAGTAGAGTGAATTAATTTCCATTGCGTGTTATTGATAAAACATTTGAGTATCACCGTCCACTAAACTTCGTTGTTTATAAAACAATAATGGCAAAACAATAATAATACCAATTGTGTATACTGAAAATTGTGATTTTATTGATTGTATTTTCGATCATGAATCTGAGTTCAATATGGTGTACGAGTTTCTGTCACTTTGAAACTCACCATCGTAATGTACTTGGAACTTAACTTTGATGTTCATACTGAGGATGAGACATATAAGTGATTATTTTAAAAGACACTGAGCTAATAAATAACGATATCCGACAACTTGTCCAATCAGTAAAGTGATTACTGACATTATTTTCTGTATAAGTCCCTTTTCTGATTGTCGGCAATCAAGATTGCTTATCAACAGTGGGACTCAGGTATATCTAAATGATGAATTCTCGACAAAATGAAAAACAAACCCTTTAACAAATGTTAGACATAACATAAGGTTAATATTTCAAAGAGTAAAAATGATAAATGTTTGAAGTTCCTTATCAAATTCACAGAAATAATCAACCATATTATTTAAAAGAATTTTAAGTAGTAGATAAAATAATTTCAGATTCGATTTTATTCAATAGCTCATTTAAATCTTTTCGAAATTTCAGAAACTCTTTACATCCATTATTGAATATCAGATTTCATATTCATTGAAAATAGTTGCTGATATTCATTGTTTTGATAAAGAAACATTATGAATGATAGTTTGATTGCAGTTAAAACGATCAATCCAACATGGAACGAAAAACGTCATAAATTTCTAATAATTTTAATAGTTTTTGGAATGATTTCAAATATTATTCTCATGGTTATTGTATCTTTAACAAAGAGTTTAATTAAAAACAGTTTCAGACGTTCATCACGAAAACATGGTAAGTATTAGTACTTCATTTTCATATTTTCATAACATGTTAGTTATTAATCAATAATGATTTTAAATAAACATTAACCTCTTTTTTATTTACTTGGTGTTGTTTACTTGTATTTTCTCATTGTTATTTAGGACTGCAATTGATCAGTCTCTTGTTGGTATATGTACATCCTATGCGGACTGCCTCGATATGACCTGAAGTCACAAGCTTTATAAGCAAAGATGGATAGTGGTTAGCAATGGAGGCCAGGACACGCACTTTGTCCTAGATAGGACTCGTCAGTTGGATGTACCTGCATCAAATGCAGTCCTACATAACGATGCGAAGATACGAGTAGACAACGCCAATTAAATATAACTTTACCCCATTGCACAAGCAAGTGGCTACCAGAACTCAGTGGCTAAGTGGATAAACCCATAGCGTTCAAAACGAACGCTACTGAGTTCGAGTCCCAAAGCGAACATCAACCCTGCGATGCAGGTACATTCAGCCGACGAGTCCCAAATAGACCAAAACGCGCATCCTGAGTTCCACTGCTACCCACTAACCATCTTTCATTAACCTCTTTTTATTTACTAAGTTATGTCCTAAAAGCAACGGTATTCTTGACAATGTGAAACGGGAGTATTTATTTTATTTTTAATGAACTTCAAGGCTACGCGGTTGGCGGATGGGAGTATCATGAAAGTCCCATTTTATAATCTAAATTCCACTGTATTTGTGTATCCAAAGTCCAAGAAAGATCTATAAACTGGTCACGTTATTAAGTCGATCATCTACTTCTATTCCTTAATTGCTTTTCGGAAGCATCTGACGGAAAGCACGGAATATGACGGACAAATTGCATGCGACTAGATGATTTGGACTTCATGGATGACCTGGTTCTTCTATCCCTTACACACGAGGAAATGGGGATGAAGACAACTAGTGTAACAGCAGCCTCTGTCAGTAGGTCTCAACGTGCACAAAAGAAAAACCAAGATCCTACGACACAACGCAAAGAACGCCAATCCAATCACACATGATGGAGAAACTCTGGAAGAGCTAGAATCTTTCACGAACCTGAACGGCATAATCGATGAACAAGGAAGATCCGATGTAGACGTAAAAGCAAAGAATGGCAAAGCAAGGACAGAATTCCTACAGTTGGAGAACATATGGAACTCAAAACGACTTCCAAACAATATCAAAGTCAGGATCCGTTCAGTAGACGTCTCAAGTGACAAATATACCTTTGGTGTAGACAAGATTAGGTGCACATAATTCAAAGCAAGTCTTTTTGAAAGAATATCCAACACTTTTAAGGCCGAAACGAGGGATTCACTTAAATTGTACTAATAGTAATGTACTAATAAAATTATTATTATTAAGTATACAATGTTTACAATTTTAATCGACTTTATGTATGTTCTGTTGTCTGATTGAAATGTACTAATCGAATTACAAGCTTCATTTGCTTAATTTTCCGTGAAGTGAGAAATTCAATCAACAACAGTTTTAGAAAACTGTAAGACAATCCAAGTGACCAGTGGAGCTAATCCTTGTCGGGTAGAGACAGGTATCTACCTCAGTACAACGGAAGTTAGTCGCGCAGTTTCGTGGATTGGTTGATGTTAGAAACTATCACCATTGGATGCCGGCTCAGTGGTCCAGTTGGTTAAGCGTTTGCGGGTGAGACCGAAGGCCCTGGGTTCGGATCCCGCGAGCGGGATCGTGAATGCTCACTGCTGAGGAGTCCCGCAATAGGACGAAACGGCCGTCCAGTGCTTCCAGGTTTTGAATTGTGGTGGTCTAACATCAATCGGTTCATGATCTCAATCAAAAACTTAATAATCTCCACAACCCCTATTCTAGTAAATAAATATTTAGTAGTGGAATTCAAAACTCGCGCTTCGTCCTCTCTGTGACTTGTAAGCTGGATGTACTTGCATTCCAGAGTTGATGTTCACAAGTAAATACAAAATCTGACTAAACTTTACTAAAAACATATTCATCCATTAAAGCACAGTAGTGGTACTGTGTCAAGTTTTCAAAACATTCGGTAATATTAGTCAAGTTTTATCTCTTTCAGAAAACACGTGGATTAACTGATGAAACAAAATCTATCTTCATCATTCGACCACTAACAATCCACGTATTGTCAAGTACACTACTATGGTGAGGACTCATAGAAAACAAAATTAAATAGCCTAACCAAGTATTCTATAAACATCTGTTAATTATACATAAGAAGGCGTAATTCGAAAACAATAATCAAGAAAGGTCCATATTTATTCTGTTATTAATGATTCACAGTGTGTCTGCGTATTCTACCCTTACTTACAGCAAAAAAAGTTGTTGATAATTATACCGTAACAAAAATGTTGCTCTCATTTGTGCCTTACCTTCTTTAGTTCACTAGTTTTCTCTAGCTAACTTTAAAAAACCAATGTGATTCTAAAATAACTGTTAATACTGGTTATTTTTGGAGATTGCAGTATCATTGGAAACCTGCAAGTACTGGCCTTCACAGTATTGCGCATCTACGATGCCCCAAGTGGGGATCAAACGCAGATTTTTCGGTCTCAGGCATGAGCACTTAAACCAATGAGCCAGTATTCAACACTGTTAATGTCTAAGTTCAGTTAATCCACGATCTTGCTGTATCATTCGCTCATGAGACAAATGTCACTTTATTCGATATCCGTTTGCGGCGTCGTGAACGCTCAATACTAAAGAGTACCATACCGAGGCGAAACGGCAGATCCATGCCCCCAGGCTTTTATTGATGGACTAACTAAGATCACTTCATGATCATGATTGAAAAAATTGTTTAAAATCACAAACGTTTGTTGCAATTTCGATTTAAACTTTGGTTTATTTGTAGTTTGTATTTTCCAGACAAAAAGTATTTAGAGAAGAAAAACAAAACGTTCTGTTATTATTATGATAAATTAGGAAAACAAAAAAAAACTTGAAACAAATAAGCACAAAATATTTTCATAATATTATAATTTTTATTAATAAGACAAATCGATAAGTTTTCGAAATCATGTGGAAATTATTAGAAAAAAACAATTTTTTTGGAAAGATGACGTGATCTCCTAGACTTTGTTGTTTAGTCTGATCATTATGTTTATTAAGTGAACCTTGTTTCTCGGTTTCATGAATGAGAAGAATAAACAACGATTACTTTTAAAGAGGTAGTTATTTTTCGTTTTGCGTGGCTAAAGGTGATCAGGAGGAACATAGGAACCTGCACTAGTTGCTATTTGAAACTCGTCAAGAAGATTTATCTAACATCTGGAACGAATTGATACTCAATAATTTTGTTCGAGTTCCATTGGTCATAGTTATCAACTAACTCAAAGAACAAGGTGCAATAAAATATTTGTTAGTGCTTAGCGATTATTCACTATAGATAGCTGTTGTCTTTACTCTGAAACGTGTTGAAATAAACCCTTTGTATTTTCAACAAAGCCCTCTCTACTCAAATTTCAGAATGGTTACTATGACTACTTTGAAGATTTCGAATTAATATCCCAGTATGAACCTCGTTTAGTATTTTTGAAATGTTTAGCCTTTAAGCTTCAACTTAACTCTGCTTGCCTGGAATAAAAAAACACTGGTGAAAGACACCTAAAATAAACATGTCTAATCAATATTAAAAAAAAGCCAAAAAACAGTTGATCTAGTTAATTACAGCTCAAGGTTGGCGATACTGTCTTAGCTAGATGCGTAAATAAGATTTTTCTAGTTCCTGTTATTGTAATGTTTTGTGTAAGTTTGAAGTCTGTTGAAATGAAATTGTCAGTTTTGTTTTTTGTATTTCAAGTCTTCACCAAAAATAAGCTCTCGCCTGTTTTTATATGCTAGTTTTTCTGTTACTTCATGAAAAGGGGTAGTAATAATAACCAGTGTTCACATTCAGTTCCTATATGCAACGCGTTTTGTTAATAAGGGATTAACACCCCGGGCGAAACACAGAACCAAGTGAGGTTTTATCTCAAACGTTGGTTCAGATGCAAAAAAGAGTTTCTATAGACGTATATGGAACGTTGAGGTTATTATTATTCAGTCAAGATAGTAACAATGTATTTAGTTATCTTCTAGAGCTTTTCCTTTGGAAGTCCCTAAACAAAGCTTGTTATTCAAGGTACTTTCAAAATTTTACGGTTTCTAAATACTTTTTCAAGAGGTTATCAAGACTCTAACAATATGGCGCCATTCGGTTTTACAAGGCCGAATGGAGAGTGGTTGGGAGTTTGACTGATGAAAATTTACCAAGTTCAGAAATTTGTTTTCTAAATCTTTCAAGATGGAACCGTTTGCGACGTTTCAAATGACAGGCAATTCACTAAAGCATGATATGACATCTTACCTGATTTAACACAAGAAAAATCTCTTAACTTCATACTTATTGTCTGCATAGTTCCTCTTTTTATTCTTCATGCTTATGCTTGCAAAAGAAATCTGCGAAAGCAACTGAAACATCAACTTATAATTGATCCAGTAGCTTTAGCTAATTGGTCTTATACTACCAATTATTTTAATGAGATTGATTCAGTTATTTTAACTAGCTAATTTCGTTCACATAACAATCCATGGCTAGTTGGCCTCATTATTTCGATTATTAACGTCATATAAGTATTCCTCGGTCTTCGTTATGATAATTTACAATTTATGACTTGGAATAACAAATCATATTTTAAATTTATTATGATTATTGGGTGCATAAATTTTCTTACACACATGGAAAAATATATTTGGCAAATGTCTATTTGCTGAAGTTACACTAGTTTCAGTGACCAGTATTTCGAATTATTCTTGTGTAATGAATTTATTTTCTATTGTAACTAAAGATACCAAACTTATATGATCAATTTATGATTTCAGAACACACTCATAATACAAATGAGACAAGTTTGAGCGTATCAATGAAATATGTGGGGAGGCATGTATGAACATGAACAATTTCTGTAGTTCAAGTGTTGCATATACTTTTTTTCACCCGGAATCCTTTATGAATATTAGATAAAATGCAAGCTAAGCTTTATTATCATTTGCACTTACAATAGAGCAAATAGAATTTGTAATGTATTGTTGGTACCATTTCCTAAACAAAAATGAATTACTTCACTTTTGCACAAAGGCCTTAATTACTGTCCATAATGTTTTTGAAATTAGAACATCATTCAGTGTAATAGAGGATTACTATTTTAGAGATAATGTCAAAGTCTAAAAAAATAATATATTCAATGCTTCGGATCCCTACATATATATAATCTATTTCCAAAGTGGTAGATGACACCGCGTGTCACGGTATAATTAGAGCTTCTGAATAGTAAGACTGATTGTGGTATCAAAGAATTTAATTGAAATGAGATTATATTCAATTACCAATGTATCTTAATGTTTGCTGTCCAATAATGTATTGTATATCTTTAGGTGAAATAACAAGATCAAGTGATAAATCTCTTCCAACAAAATATATACTTCAATCTACAATATTATCAAAATGTTGTACAATTTCGAACGATGAAAAAGAGTTCATCATTCAATCCAAGTCGACACATTCCTGTTGTGAATTTGAAATGAATTGGGGTTGTTGTTATTACAAGACTCAATGTCATAGTCATTGTTTCTCAACCTCATCTATAGTCACTCCAGTACCAACTACTATAGAGTTGAATATTTTATCAAGTCATCGAAACAGTAGTTATGCTGATGATTCTGTAACAGAAATTCCAGAAAAATTAGAAAATCTATCTATTAATTCAAAAACAAATTTAGATAAATACAAGTTAAATCAACCATGTGAAATAAATAAATCATTTTTTCTAAATACAAATCAACACTTAACAAACTATGAACAATATTCCAATTCTAATATGAATGAATCAAATCTAAGTGATGTGAAATCAAATCAAGAATTAACACTACCTAGTACATCAATCCATTACTGTCATAGATCTTTATCTTCATTTCCTAATGAACAAACTATTCCAGATCTTGAACAAACTGCATGGTATATTTTATGTTTTTTAATAGAAATTTTAGCATTTGCACAAATTGGTTATTTACTATTTGAAGATCTGTTACCATGGATATCAAATTTATTAATATTTTATTATAATTTTAATATTAAATTAAAATTAAATATTAATTGTCGTTTAAAACGTATGTTTGGTACATTTTTTTTATTATTTGAAGAATGGTGTCTATTTCTATTTGGTATTGAACGTGTTTATAATATTTATTTATTAAATCACTATGGATTCAATAAAAATACCCAATCAATAATGAATGAACGTAATCGATATAAATTACATTTATTAAGTATAAAAATTTGTACAGGTTTATTTATTGCAATTATATTCTCTGCATTATGTAATTATTTATGGGTATTTGGACAATTTCACTGGGTTAATTCAATTAATTTAATGAATCAAACATATAATATCACATTGATAGAAACGGTTACATGTAATGTAAGATCAGAATATTTTAAATTTTATTATTCATTTCTTATTTATTTAGATCCATTATTTTCATTTATTATACCACATATATGTTCATTATTATTTATTATGATTATTCTATTACATTATTGTCTTCAATTTATTTATCGACGAGTTCAAAGAAGTTCTACAATACAAACAACTAAAATATTAATAGAAGATGATTATTTCAATAGATTATCATCTTATAGAAGCTTTAATACTTTCTATATAATGATTGATCATTTGACAACAATCATATATCTTCTTGATAGTATTATTATTGTGATATTAAAATTATGGCGTAATATTGAAAAATCAGTAATGGTATATTTTCATATTACATTCAATATGAATTATTATATGATTAGAAATGAATTGTATCATTTAGAATTATGTTTAATACCTATAATAACAATAATAATCTATTTAATATTTCTTTATAAAATTAGAAAATATTGTAAATAATAATAATAATAATAATAATAATAATAATGAAATCTCTTGACATTTTGGATTAATATACTTTTGAAAAGTGCAAGAATAAAGATTCTGACACTTTTAACGATTTTTCAACATTGCAGTTAAACAATATATAAAGAAGGAATGAATCAACGGGAAAGATCTCCTTTCAATCTGTATATATGATTTATAATAATAATGAAATAATATTCATCGAGTGGACACGTTTCATAATAATTATATAATGATATATTGATTATAAATTAGAAGAAAGAGGATTAATCATCATTTAAAGTTGCTGGATTTTCGAACAATTACTTTGATTATGATGAATCCTCTTTCTGGCAATTTATCATCGATATATCATTATATAATTATTACGAAACGTATCCACTCAATGAGTAATATTTTATTATTTTAAATCATATGTATACATTAGTGCAAAGCCATGATGAGTAACTAACTGAAAATAAATCTCTTCGCTTGATTCGTTTCTTCTTTATTTACCGAATGTCAAACTGAGAATTTTCACTAAATTATATATATATATATATATTTGATTGAATGTACGAAGAAAAAAACAAAAACAAAGTATTTTATTTGACTGAGTTTATTTGACTGTTTTCCATTCGTGTCTCTTCTCAATTCTAAATAAATGGATATGACCAGACTATAATTTATGGATGATCTGTGAACGAAACTTAAGTGTCCTTGAGAAATATTAGCCAATCAGAAGACAGTATAGAATAAGAATATAATATACAAAATCAAAGAATTAAGGCGGATACACTTCTGTTACATGGTTCAAAAAACGTGTTAACCTTAGAAAGAGGTGCAGCGATTCTAAAATCCTAATCCATACAGTAGAGGAAATCACCCATATGGCTCAATAATAGTCGGCCTCTCGAGCCATGAAAAGGTGGTAAAAACTATTTCAGCCTTGATCACATCGCTTCACTATTGGTTGTGTGCACTCCAGTTGTTTGGTTTACGATGCACATAAACGAGACTATGTAGCCATCTGTACTTTCTCCAATCATTCGCATATATTGTAGTACCTGGTGGCAGCCAGTGTTACTGGTGATTCTATTATCCAGCTGGCAACAACTGTCATAATTTGCCTTAGTCTCAATCTGGATAGTGCGAAAAATATCTTATTGTAGCAGACTTCTTCCTCCAACACATATTACATCGAAAGATATCATCATCACGGTAGTCTGTACAAGGTCCACAAGTCATTTGATTACCACAATCACAAATAAGGGAACTTCTTAGTAGTCTCATTTATTGCAGTCGCTCATTCATCACGTTTTCTCTCAAATTTACTGTGAACTGATTGTACGTGAACATCAGGTACTGAAATTGGCGCCGTTACCTTCAAACATTTCTGACTGGCTCGTTCATAAATAATAGTCTCATCACAGATATTTTATCAAAAAGGTTTTCGTGGAGATCATGGTAATTTTATAGTTGAATTCATGAGTCAAATGAAGCTAGACCACCATAGGAAACCTTGAAAGCACTGTACAGCCATTTCGTCGTGGTGTGGTACTCAGCAGTGAGCATCCGCAACTTAATGGCCGTCCAGTGCTTTCAACTTTTCTATGGTGGTTTAGCTTCAATTGACTCATGAATTCGATTACAATAAAACACAGATATTTCCCAAAAAGAAACATTTACAGCAAAAAAAATTCAATAAATTTAACTGTCTAAATAGTAGATATGTAAAAATAAAATTAATTTAAAAAAACACTTGTCACTATTCTCTGCGAGATCAGTAAAAGTTTGTAAGTACTGGAGAGGTATTTTTTTACCTTTGGGGCCTCAAAGCAGTGTGCACCTCAGTCCGAGAAGTGAACGTTGGCAATATCTATCTTATCCTCAAATATCTCTTAACTTTACCATTCGTTGTGATAGGCGCTAAATACATAGTTTGTGGGTTCATTTATATATAAAACAGTAGGTTCTAACCGTGTAGACGCTTTAAATGTAAGCTACATAACTGATTACAACTACCTCGTTCTTAATGGTTCATCGAACAAAGAAGACTACATTCAAATAAAATTATATTATGGTGAGTTTAAATAATAATATGCACATATTAGGCGTTCAGTACCGTTTTGGATTTTAATATTTCTGAAGCATAAGTGTGTAAAAACTGATTCACGTCTATATCGAATATATAAATGCTAGCTAGCATTAGAGTTCAAGACACGCGTTTCGATCTATTTAGGACGTGTAAGCTAAATGTACCCGAATCCTAAAGTTGATATTCATTTTAGAATATAAACCTAATACCTTTTGCTTCAAACTCCAACACCTTATTAACTTAGCTGTTGAGTGCAGATAACCGTTAACTTGTGCAATTTGTATGAAGTTCACTTTTTTAGTGCTTTAGATTATTTCAGTATTAATATTTTGACAAAATGTTAAACATTCCAGATGGTGAATGTCCATAAATTCAGAGATGCAGATTAATCCTGGTGGAGACTCAAAAATAAGATGAAATACATATCCATCTTTCCACTGCCGGTCACATATCTGTTTTGTTTATAGCTGTATATATGCCAACCAAAGCCGATAAAAATTCAATTAAAATATCAACAATGGAATAATCCATATCACCAGAAATTAAATTAATTCCTTACTGATTAAAAAAGACTAGTTACCAGTTAAAAATTGGCTATCATTAAAGAACAAATATTTTTACGACTAATCTTTACAAGTATTTCTCATTTACCAAACGAGGTAAAAATAGAAATGTAAATTTTCATTAATTCATCTCCAAAAGTCAATAATTGTCATTACACTTAATTACACAGTATTAACAGCTAGAAATAACAATGAAACAAAATTAACAGAATGTTAAGAAGACTTCTGAGAATTGTTCATAATCACGTAATTATAAGTTTCTTTTATAAACGTCATCTTATGATGATTTGAATTGTTTTTTCTGGTTAGCGTTCTTTTTAACGAGTTTGTTTTCTACAGGATGGGGTCACTAACACCATGTCCAACCCTCTACCTTTATTCGGGCGTGAAACCGGCAGTAGCTCCAGAGGGGCTCCAGGCAGAGTCGTCATCTTATAATGCTTTCATTTTAACAAGAAAAGAAAATCTTATTATGTAACTGTCAACAGAACGAACATACTACCAAAAAAATAAAGAGTAATAATAAACCGTGAAGCCTGTGAATTATTATCCATCAGATAAAGTAGTTTCTTATATGATAAAAAATCAACCTAATAATTACAACTAATTACTTTCAAAGAAGTATTTACAAATTAGTTAATATGAACATTAAATATCTTTTCGATGAGATGAATGAATAGAGGAATACTTTTATAAATACTTTATAAGTTTATGGATATATCGTTAAGTTTAACATTTTAATATTCACAGTTACAACTGGACTTGTCCTACAAATAACTGTATTTTCGTTAAAATAAAGCTTTTCAATTCATTCACCACTAATTGTAATCAAAATGTGTTCGGTTTCCAAGGGTATAAATTATTTATGCACACATTAGGGTATAGTAGCGATAGCCTTTTGATATAACTTCTAATTGCTTCTTATAAAGCGTTTTAGATATAGACATTGTTATCTATCAATTAACAGAAAATCGCCTACCTTTCACCATGGAGATTGTTACTTACTTAATTACTTACGCCTGTGTACTCCTCGCGAAGTAGCGTAGGCCGCTCACCAGCATTGTTATTCAACGATAATTGCGCTTGACCTCCATTTACTTGTAACACAATTCTCCTATTTCTAATATGACTATATGACCTAACCAAAGACGGGTAGATTTATACATCTCAGTACAATTATTCTCATATTGATTTTATCTCTAATGATTAGTAGTTTAATTCTAGACTAATTTTGTAAAGAACATCTATTTTAATAGTTGAGATCATGAGTCAATTGAAGCTAGACCACCATGGAAAACCTGGATGTACTGAACGGCCGTTTTTTTCTATTATGGGACTTCTCAGCAGTGCGCATTCACGATCCCGCCTCGCGAGATTTGAACCGAGGACCCATCAGTCTCGTGCAAGAACGCTTAACATCTACACCACTGAGCTGGCCGGCATCAAACGGCGTTAATGTCTTACTTCAAGTAATCTATGAAATTGAGCGACTAATCCACCGTTGTCTTCAGTGAATTACTATCTCACAACGGACCCGTTTTAACTTCACTGCTCACTGCTGGTCACTGAGCATTACTGAGGAGCCTCACAGTACAACGAAACGAAGATCCAGTGCTTCCAGACTTTCCATGGTAGTCTAGCTTCAATCGACTCATGATGTCAACCATTAAAATTACTATCATATCCATAAAACCTCTTCTGATATCGAATATCTTATTAATTTAAGTTACAATTTCAGTATTATCATAGGAATAATATACTGCAATTTGCAATCATAAAATTATTATATATATTTTACTGAAAAACTTTATTAAATTATGTTGAGATTCAACTACTTTTTTATACTGAAAAATGGACTTATTTTCACGTCAGTTCATCTTTAGATTTGATGATATTGACGTTACTCGATGTTACCGTCAAAACATTTCGGTAATTTAAGCTCAAGTTATCTGTTTACACTTAATTTAACGTCTTATTTTA